AGTGAGTAACCATTACTTGTCGTTATTTGGTTTCATAAATAGCCGCTTTGAGAGTTCGTGGTATAACCACCCTTTTACTGTACATGTAATATATATGTATATGTTACTTTAACATTGTTTCAAAATATATTTCCATATTAAAACTACTTATATTTGTGAGTAATTACACTGGTAAGAAGAGGTCAACGGAAATTCCAGGAACAGGGAAATTCTGATATTTCTTGCTTTCTATTTTTCCAAATTATCTTTTACAATTTCCAGACAACACAGACATGACAGTATATGATTTTAATGTACAGCTCCAATACTCATAAATAATAACTAAAGATCCAGATACAATTTACATGACTTTATTGACCGGAAGTAATGGCATCGTGCGTCTTTTAACAGTATGCGCATGGGCGCATAATTAACCTTAAGGTAGGCAGATACTAGGTAGTGATACTAGAACATCACAGACAGAAGCTACCATTGACCTGTTTCCAGGTTTACTAAAAGTAGACAATGTTATGATACTTTCCTGAAAAAAGCAAGGAAATACACACATGCCTTCAGAGACTAACATGTGCAGGTATAGCAATTTTTTCCCAAAATATTATTTTCAAGCAGTACCTTAAAGTTTATCGCATCCTACGAACACGGAGCGGTAGGCAAACTGCGCGCCTACTATGCACGCAGTTTGGAACATTGACAAACTGCGCGCCTATTCACAAAATGGCAGACAGGGAGGACACAACTCCCAAGAGGATGGAAATTACTGACAATACAAAGTTAATTTTGGTTATCAGACAGTACCAAGATGTGGAGACTAACTTACTTTATACGTAGCACTCGATTTTTTTCCTGATGAATATCTAGTTATCTCAAAATAAGGTTCCCAATGAGCTTTCGTGTTCAAATTATACAGTGTTGCGTCATATAATGTCTGTTTTTCGTAGTTTGACGTTTATTCAGCCCTCATGTTTGCATATACTGAAAGATATAGGATTGCTGCTAATGGTTTAAGTAATATAGGGTTTGTGTGTTAAACAGTGACAAGCCATTAACGTGATTTTATTTTTTTCGCTGTCAAACTGCGTGCATACTTTCACGTGGATTTCACAAACTGCGTGCCTAATACTTACAAACTGCGCGCCTATATTTTCAAACTGCGTGCCTAATTTGCAAGCTGTGTGCAAGTTTGTTGTGTATTTTCAGAAAACGTAAACCCCTCTCACTAAACCTGTCCATATATAAAAAAAACAAAGTCTGTCCCTAACAAAAATGTAGATAACAACAGCGCATCTTCAAAAACCATGAAACCAGAATTAAACAAGATGTTATTTTCACACGCACCAATGAAGAAAAGGAAACCAATCAAGAAACTCAAGGGGCGATTATTTAAAGGTACCAGTGACTCATTTGAAAAAACATGAAATTAAAAGACTGTGAAAACCTCTTGCCCGATGTCCTCTCAAACCTTAAAAGAAATAGTACATTGTGTCAACCCTTCCTCAATTTCCTTGCCCTCATCTCAACAAATTCAATCCCCCTTGAAATTACCGATTTATCAGGCTCGTATAATATACATGTACTGCAGTCGGAACATTCAAGTATTACTTCCTTTGGCATATGCTATAGAATAGACTCGAAACGATTGTATCCCCAAAAATTCAAAGATTTAAGTGAAAAAGTTTTGAATTACTGAATTTTGCTCGTTATGCATGCGTGGTCACTTATTTATGGTAACGTGGGTAATAAACAAAGTTTCAAGTCGAAAGAGTGAGATTGTTGTAAATATCATTTTATATGTTCCTAAAACTGTAAATTGATATAGTATTTTATAATGAGGAATTCATTGAATTCTAAGAAATGGCTTTTTGGACTGCATCAATCAAAAATCTAAATAAAAAAGGATTCAATATATATATTTACACAATTTTTATGAACGTATTTATTTATGTTGCACCATGCATGAAATAGTGTTAGTTTGAAATAAAGTAATAAAATAGGCAAGTTCGGCACTTCAATTGGGACCAGGCGGGGGCCTCCTGTGTGTCTTTTAGAAGGACCCCAATAGAATAAAACCATTTTCATGAGATTTTTGAACTCAACTCTATATGATGAAGCCGAATCATTGCGCCATACTTTTATAAAATCATATAGACAAGAACAAAATAAAATATATAAATATGTACATTTCCACTGGTTGTCAACCATCAACCCAATTTTAGTTTTTGATTTTTTTCAACTTTTTCAATCTCTACCAGCAGCTTACTTACGTACTCCCATGAAATCACATAGGCCTGCATCAATAATATGCACGCAGTTTGGAAGAGTATGCACGCAGTTTGTGATTTCTGGCTAAAATAGGCGCGCAGTTTGTGTTTTATTACTTCTTTCGGTCATGTTCATCTGTTTTAATACGAAATATTTTGTATTGTACGGGAGAACTGGGTTGAGATTTACCTGTGAATCAAAACCCAAGTGTTTTCTATTTCTGTGAAACGTGCGATATCAACTTTTGTATCGGTAATCCAAAAATCGATGCCAATTTTTTGTATTAATCTGCTTATATTTTTAAACCAACGTTCATCTGGACATACATTTCGCTATCACATGGCTGAATCATATAATCGCCACCGAATGGACGTGTGAAACTATAAAACAATTCAGAATAAATGTCTTAAAATGACGTTTGAAAACACAGACTCCAACTTGTATGATGCAATGTTGATAGGCGCGCAGTTTGTCAGTCTTTCAAACTGCGTGCATAGTAGGCAAGCAGTTTTGCTACCACTCCGTGACGAACCCCACTACATTTTTGGTCCACAACCTAAACTAAAGTGTGAATTTTGAGATTCACACTTTAGGGGGGGGGGGAGATTTCCCAAAGATGACCTTCCGTAGGTTTGAAATGATGATGTTGAACTGATGTTAACGCCATTCCCACAATTTCAAATTTAACTTTGCGCATACGAGAGCACATGCTCATGATTGTTCAGTATATATATATCTTTTATCGACCCTTTAGATGTCATATCATGACATATTAGTCACTTAAGTAGAGCAGTTCTTCCCATTGTCGAGTTGAAGAACTGGTATCTTTATCCTGGCTAGAACCATAGACAATTCTAGCCAGCGCCAGCCTTTTATCGAGTTAGCAGCACTCTAGTAATCGCCGGTATAGGTCAGCAGTCATAGGTCAAAGACAAATCACAAGAAGTGCTGTGACCTGGGTTTGAACCCAAGACCTCTACTTTTCAGCATAGACTAATGTTTACTCCAGTCTCTAGCCAATACTTGGCTAGAGGTGATTTCATCTGGAATACTGTGAACTCCATTTGAAAAAAGCTGGCCACCGTGTCATAAATTTATTGAATATATTAAAAATCGCCAGATAAATAAATCATTAATTAAAACGGAACCGGCTCGGCTGCTTGATGAGATATGACATGATTTTGTCAGGATTTCATCTAAAATTAAAACAAAATGGCTCCAATAAAAATGGCGATATTCGAAAACTGGACGAATTGTCGTTAACGTCTGACATTAGTAACTGGCTGTAAATTCTAAGTTAGTGATCCAGAAGATGTGAACTAATACACTGACCACTTCATGTGTGTTTTGGAATTTTTGGTGAGGTAATAAGACCAAAACTCGTAATTCAAATTGTGATGTGGAAAAATGGCGGACATATGATTTCAAATTTTATGATTACGATATGACCAATTGTTCATGCAGGAAATATTATCTTTCCAGGAAGGCCACGATACAGTGGCCTTAGAAGAAGGTACAGTTGGGGACATAAATAAATGACAGGTGGATTTGCTGAAGTGAGGATTTCCCATGTTAAAAATAAGAGAATTTACAAGAGGCCATACATCAGTGGATGAGATTATACAAAATGTAAAATATACAAATTTTAAGGGATATATATCTAGACAATATTGGAAATTATGGGCTTTCAGACCACCATAATTAGGAAATGGTGATCGAAAATCGACCTGTCATTTATTTTTGTCCCCAACTGTAAACTAGTCTAATGTTACTTCATAATTGGGGCAAAGATGCAGAATACAGAAAAAATATTGTTTACAAGAATAACATCCTCACAAAGAATGATTAGACCAATGTCAGTTTGTAGGGTTTCCCACAGACAAAGTTCAGTTGGCTAGCCATTTTTCAAATCCGTTTTCATGGTTTTCACTTGTCTTGTCGATACATTTATAAATTTGTTTATCCATACATGCGATGTTGAGGTTAATGATATATTCAATCAGACAGTTTTTGACATAATTAGGCTAAGCTAAGCTAGTTTAGATACTAGTATTTGAAAAGGACCTAGATCTAAGACTGTGGACATCGTAGGATGACAAAAGTCACATCCACACATCTGAAACAAGTCAAATCAAATATGGAGGATTTGACAGGCTAGATTTGTAACAGCTGTCGATGTTATGGCATTGGACTTGGCGAGTGTTGGCATTTATCATTTTATGGTATGAAAAGAATGCATTTAGGCCTACATGTATGTAAGCCACGATCGGGACCGTCTTGAAAACTTCAGAATGATTTTCTCATTGAAAACAAAGCGACATTGCTTTGGAAAGTTCAATTTATGATCAAGACGATATCGGCTGTATTTTGGGCTTAAAAAACGAGTTGAAAACATGGTGTCTACGTTAGAATTTGGCTTCAAAACATCCTCTTTCGTGGAACACCAAGCTTTCGCCTCGAAATTTATCAGTAAAATAATATTCAGAAAACACTCACCCCTTCTAAACGTAAGATCAGCACACGGGGTTCACATTTTTCAAAACACGACTATATTTGACCTCTGACATACTGACGTCAATAAGATCTATATACATATTTTGCTATAATAGAGGCTAAGATATTGCTTAAACTCAACTGATCATTATTGATACTATTATTATGCAGATTTTTTCAAAATACCAATTGTGTTCCTCTTATGGGTAAAGAAGAAAACGGGGAAGTCTCTTTTTAATTATTTACACACTAACTGATGACGTAAATTTTGATTGAACAAATGGCGCATTATTCCATTTTAGGAATGTTATGAAATAAAGTGGTTTCCCAAAGAGTGTGTTCATTATATGAAACATAATGCATTTTGTGACATCCAATTGATGTTTAAGCGATATTGTGCTTGAAAACAAAGCTTGAGAATGTGGATACAGACAACTGTCATATATAAGCAGAATTTGATGACGTAGAGCCCAAGTACACATTGCGCGAAATTCGCTTATATTTTCTGTCGATCGAAGTCCACTAAAGCCTAACCTGAAGTAGTATTACCAAAATACAGGTAAATATAAATTATTAAGTAGACTTACAATCCTCCCAGAATTACAATCAGTGTAGACACTAAGGGGCTGAAACCTGCTGGTCAAAATGACATTAGGGACCAGTTGCAATGTTATTTTCCTATACCTAGTGAAAAAATCAACTGGTCCGTATCAAAAGTAACCAGATAATGACCAGTGGACCGGCTGTTAAGGTTCAGCTGGAAAGTAACATTTTGGTAAAAAATTGCTATACCTGCACATGTTATTTTCTGGTACAAAATTAAGTATGAAGGCATGTGTGTATTTCCTTGCTTTTTTCAGGAAAGTATCATTACACTGTCTTCTTTTAGAATATCTAGAAACAGGTCAATGGTAGCTCCTGTGTTGTCTGGAAACTTTGAAAGAAAATTTGGAAAAATAGAAAGTGTAAAATATCAGAATTTCCTGGAGGTCCCATTGAACGCCTACCAGATATTCTAAAAGAAGACAATGTAATGATACTTTCCTGAAAAAAGCAAGGAAATTGACACATGCCTTCATACTTTATTTTGTACCAGAAAATAACATGTGCAGGTATAGCAATTTATTACCAAAATGTTACTTTCCAGCTGTACCTTAACAGCCGGTCCACTGGTCATTATCTGGTTACTTTTGATACGGACCAGTTGATTTTTTCACTAGGTATAGGAAAATAACATTGCAACTGGTCCCTAATGTCATTTTGACCAGCAGGTTTCAGCCCCTTAGTGTCTACACTGATTGTAATCCATGTTTTCAATGTTCACCACATGGAAACACAGACTTGACTCGAACTTCCTGCCATATAATTTTACCAGGATCGGAAACAAGCAGCCAGAGCTTTGGCAGAAGGTCACATGATTTATCTCGTGCCAGGACTATAGTCCTGGACTAAGCGCAATCTTTTGCCTGTACGATTACAACTTGGGGGAATTTACGCCCCTTACACCATGGGCTTTCAACTAAAATGGGCTTTCAACTAGAAGGGTAGGCAACTTCCCATATTTCATACATAAACATTGCCATGGGTTTTCAAAATTGGAGAATGTACACATTCCAAGAAAATCTTATTTTGTACTTTTTATTGATGATTAAAAGAAATAACTCAAAAATAAAAACATGATCTTCTACATACATCTTGATAATTTAATAAAAATTGGAATTCATCCTAATTATGACAATACAGAAAGTGAACATTCTCCCACAAATTATCTTTTTATTGGAATGTGTTCTTGAATAATTACCCACAATGCAATACTCAAAGAGAACATCTTGATAACTCTTATTCTTATTGGTCTCTTTTGTTTACTTTTATATGATATTGAATATATTTTATGCTTAAATCATATTAAAAATTGATTTTTATTCAAAATAATACTAAAACATATACATTTATCTAATACTTTTTGAAATATTGCCATAAAAGGGAAGCATGTCATTGCTCATTTTGAAGGTCTCATGTTATTACATAGAGTTGCATACCCTTCTAGTTGAAAGCCCATTGAAAGCCCATGCTTACACTAATAGATTCCTGGGTATTTTAGCGTTCTTTTCGTGTAGTTGAATCCACAATTGTCTGGGTTTATCAGCAGAACGAAGAAATTTTCATTTTTGATCGCAGTATTTGCGTGTAATATTTAACTTATTTCAACCATCAAATTCCTCCATTTATTGTTACTTCCGGGCCAGTCAAACGGGGAATCCCTTTTTAAATCCAATCGCCATCTTGAAAAGTGATGGAATCTCTCTCGATGAAAAAGAAAAATGTTCCCGTTCTGGCGATATATTTCTTACTTTCTTATTATACGATTTGTGAGATTTGCCAAGGTGAACGAGGTGTCGAAAGGCACTAATTAGAGTATAGCATTCCTCATTTCTTAACTAGTTCAATCAATACAACCAGTGTTGATCACCACATAAATGCAAAACCAGCTATGGTCAATGTGTCTGTTTCATGCTGGGCATGTGCCAGTGTTTTGAAAAATCCATAGATTACAGTACTCAATCTGCTTTGATTGATTTTACTGAACTAGTAAACCAATAATCAGAATCACACTACAGCATTGCAGCATTGTCTGCTCCTCAGATTCTCTCATAAGGGAGCTACTGTATTTATAAGTCTGTTTTCACTTAAAAGTACATCCTTATTTGATATACCAAATGGTTATTTTACTATACTGTAAGTAACCTATAATCAAGTCACGTTGTATTATGTGTTAAATAAGGTAGTCTAGCTACAAGCCTCTGTGACCCTCCCCCCTCTACTTGAGTAAACATCTTCTCACACAGAGCCTGTAGCTAGACACACAACAATGCAATTAAGAAGGGATATTTTGATGTACCAAGCTAAGAGGATACTTGGTCTTGATCATGACTTGTGTGCTAAGAATGTCACAAAGAGTATTCGTAACATGCTTGATATTTAAAATTGATGGTATGGTACTTGTACCAATGAAATTACACGGTCAATAAATAAATGAGAATAATTATGAAATAGAAGATGAAGGTGAAAATCACATTAAAATATACACTAGTATTAATCATGAGTTCTACATTCATACCAGACATACACTGCCCAATGGAATGCAAAGCTTATTGGTCAGTGCCAATGAGCCCAGTGTCTAGGATCAAATGCACTGCTGGGTGCAAATATGATAACAGATTGATGCAGTTCAAATCTTTGCTAATTGTTAATATTAAATACTTTTTGAATCAACAATTAACATTGTTAATGCTTTCAGTGTAAGTGATAATTTGATTGAGAGATGTATTTTAAAGATAATTTTGTATCAATAGATTTCCTATTCATGATCAATTTTTACAAATTTCATTGACCATGATCTTCTTGTAATAGAGGATATATTAAAATATTCATTATAGATATCCGCTACATCACAGATAATTATATGGTGTTTTCATTAACTAATGTATGAACTGGAATATACATAAAACAAAGGGTATACATAGCAGGGCCGTAGCCCGCTTTCAACCAGCTGAGGGGGGGGGGGGGCTGCAATCGTAGTATTTTAAAAATTGGTGCAACCTTCTTCAAAATTGAGCTAGAAACTTCAAAAAACATTCTAAACCTCTCATCTCTTTTTTGGTTGTATTTTTTGGGTGGGGTTGAGATTGCACCAACCGCAACCTCCTGTTTTAACTCCTTGCAGTAATGTTGATTCAAGTGCTTTTGAATTCGCAAGATACAAACCACAAGACAATACCTCAAACAGCTTCGAAAATCAGACTATATTTTTGTTAAAGTTAAATTTAAGAAATATATTTCAATTTTTGAATTTCTCTTGTAAAAACGCATTTCACCCAAAACACAATTTTGATACCTATTTCATCTTGGTAAATCTCAGTATCAGTAAAGGAACCCTTGATTAAACATGGTATATTTCGACTTTTTTGAGTCAACTAGACTGTATTTCATATAATAATTTTTCTAAAAATTCTTTTTAACATAAAATTTTTTTTGCAAAAAACACATTTTTTACCCAAAAACTTACTTCGACAATTATTTCATCTTTGCAAATCTCAGTATCAACAAAGGGACCCTTTACCTTTCAATTATATACCATGGTTAAGCTGCTTGTCAAAATATGTTAATGTTGTCATCATGTTTTGAATACACTCGTTTAATAGTCGATATTACATGCAAATCACAAAGAAAAAACTATTCAGCTCCCAAAATCCCCCCAGTTGATTAAATATGGTATAATTTGACTTTTGAGAGTCAACTAGACTGTATTTTATATAATAAATTTTCTAAAATATTTTTTATCAATTTAAATTTTTTTGCAAAAAAACACATTTTTTACCCAAAAACTCACCTTGACACCTATTTCATCTTGGCAAATCTCAGTATCAATAAAGGAACCCTTTACCTTTCAGTTATTAACCATGGTTTAGCTGCTCGTCAAAATGTGTTAACGGTGTCATCATATTTTGAACACACTCGTTTTAGTCGATATTGCATGCAAATCCCAAAGAAAAAACTATTAAGGTCCCAAAATCCCCCCAAGTTGATTAAACATGGTATATTTTGACTTTTGAGAGTCAACTAGACTGTATTTTATATAATACGTTTTCAAAATATTTTTTGCAAAAAACACATTTTTTACCCAAAAAGTCACTTCGACACCTATTTCATCTTGGCAAATCTCAGTATCAATAAAGAAACTCTTTACCTTTCATTTGATGACCATGGTTAAGGTGCTCGTCAAAATGTAAGATGTCATTTTATTTTCAACATACCTATTCTAGACTATTCCTAGAAAATCAGTATTTTCCTCTTGATTAAGTGTTTTTCTGAGAGCTTTCCCCATGTGAAATAAAATCACAATTGGCTTTTTAGCAAGAAGCCCTCGTACTAGATAAATAAATCATCATTTCTACTTATAACAAGGTCCAAAATAACATCTTTGACATCTGAAATGAAACCCATGGTTCCAAGCCATTTTCTGGGACTTACCCTTATATTGTTTTCTCCCATAATCTATCAGACCATTGCCAAAGTAAACAAGGTTGAACATTTTCTTGTTTCAGATGGGATTTCCATTATGGAACAAGTGTGTGTGGTTGAAATCAGTGGAAAAAATTCTGAAGGGAAATCTGAATCTACAAGTGGCAGTGGAATCATTGTCAATGCAACACACGGACTAGTGATCAGTCATGCTTCTTTGCTCTACCCATTCACTGACAGTCACAACCCTATAAACTATGCAGACAATAATAATGTAAGGTATAAGGTGTTAGTTCAGACTCCTGAAAAAAACAAAAAGAAACAGGTAACCTTGAACGCAAGCTCAGCATTAGAAAAAGAGTATAATAAGACATTAGATCATGTGGATGACAATGTTTTACATTCAAAACTTATTAAAACACACTATGCAGAAAATGTCTTAATATGGGAATGTAAGGCATTTAAAGATTCATTAAGAAAACTTATGTCAAAATATGATGGCTGGAAGTTTGCTGATGATCCAGCTTTGTCGACTGTAAAGCAAGGAGCAAAATCACAAGAAATTGAGGCCAAAGATGACATTGATCATGAAAAGCTGAATTCTTTGTTGTCATGTTTCATCATGCTGAAACTAGAGAATTGGACACCACAAACATCCATGATAGATGTTCCAGTATACCCAAGTGTACAGTTAAGAATTGGCCAGACATGCAGAGTTTTAGGGACTCCCTTTGGAACTTTAAGTCCTGCCGTCTTTATGAACTCTTTAAGCAGTGGCGTAATCAGTAACGTATCAGGAGTGAATAATGCCTTGATTTTGACTGACGCGAGATGCATTCCGGGAACTGAAGGTGGCCCATTGTGCATACAGAAAAATAACCATAGGTAGGAAAGGAATCCTTCATTTCTGTTTGTTTGATGATGTTTCGTTGATTTAATTGTTGGCTTTTATGTCCAGAGCAGGGTTGGGGAGCAAGATTTGGTAGAGATAAATAAGACACAAAAACACGATTAACAGATCATACAAAATTCAAGTGCATAGTCAAAACTCAGATTCAGGTCAATCTCACTGGAAAGGAATTGGATATAAATATACTCATTTACCCACATGGTTGAATTAACTTAGAAGCAGAATTGGATCTACCGAGCAACCTTGACAAAAATTGTTTCAATTTTGGAATAGCAGTTGTCTCATTACAATTCATTGTTGTTTTATATTTTTGTTTCTAAAAAACAAAGTTCATACTTTATTCCATTTTTAACTGTTTCATATTGTATTTACAATTGTAATGTAATTATTTATGTTGTATTGTAATAGAAGCTTGAGGGTGCTAAAATAACAGCTATATGATATTCTCTAGGCAAATCGCAGGTTTAGTTGTGACATCACTTTGCTGGAAAACAAATGAGTGGATCGGTCTTTCTGTAGCCTGTAGCTTTTCAGAAATTCTCTCCTCCTTACAAGAGAGCTTGCAGTTTGATGAATCAGCCATCATTCAAAGCATTAAAAGCAGAGTATCTACCTTAGCAGGTAATTATCAGTCAACAATATGTGAAACAAAATAGAATCATTTAGACCAACTCTGCAAAACATTTCAATTTGAATGTAATGTGCAAGTGAAAACATGATTTATCTCAATTTATATATTTTCAGTTGAAGCTAAGCCTCAGGACAAACAAGTAATAAACCAGCCTGATATGAGATCTGTTGTGTTTGTGAGGGCTGCAACGAGTTGGGGTAGTGGCATCGTAATAGATGGCGCCTCTGGTTTAATTCTCACATGTAGTCATGTCATCAAAGATGCGAAGGCTCCAGCTGGTAAGATAGTAGATTTATTATCCCATCGAACCGAGGTCGTCTGGGATATAGGGAACGCCTCCATCTGTCTATCTGTGCAGGCAATAACTCTAATACCGTTGGCCCAATATTGTTTATATTTTACATTCATGCCCCATGGCATGTGAGTACAAGTTCTGCTCGAGAGCAGATTTATAAAATGGCCACCAGTTTCAAAGAGGCAACCATTATACTGTAGTGTCAATTTTACATCATTTTAGGTACAACATGAAAAACTGTAATACTAGTAATTATCCCAACAAATACTAGTAATTATCCCAACAAACAAAGTTTGAGGGGGATATAGGAAAGCCGTCCATCCGTTCGTCCATCCGTTCAAATTTTGTAGGCTTATGCCTTCATGGCTGTAGGACCTCTGGTCGAGAAGGAATTTTCAATATGGTTGCTCAATTCAAAATGACGGCCGACTAGTCAACAGATTTGGTTCATATTTCTTTTTGTAAAAACATAATCTTTGATAACTCAAATACCAGTTGACAGATTTCTATATGTTGATGCCTAGAGACAAAGGAAGTCTGTTCAAGAAGACATTTTCAAGATGGCCACTGAATTTGAAAATGGCTGCCATTTTTTGCAAAAAACGTAATCATTGATAACTCAAATACCAGTGGATGGATTTGGTTCCAATTTTATATGCTGATGTCCAGGGAAGAAGGAGATCTGCTTCAGAAGAAATTTCAGGTATCAGCTGAATTTCAAAATGGCCACCATGTTTCGTAAAAAACATAATCTTTGATAACTCAAATACCAGTGGGTGGATTTGGTTCAAATTTATGTGGCCGTTATTTCTCAAAACATGTTTTGTTAGGTTGAATTTGATACTCCGTGGAGTTGCTGTTTTTCTAGTATGTTATTAATGCCAAAAGATTATATAGGATATTGATAAAGTTTAAAATCTAATTATTTTTACAAAAAACATGGCGTCCCTCTTGAAAAAATGGTGGCTGTTAACAACTTGTGCTGGCATTGGAAAAGTTGTGCTGCAATTTTGTTCATATTTATGTGAAAACTCATAAGCATGGTACACTGTCTTATGACATTTTGGCAAGGAGGAGATTTTAAAAAATGGGCACCATTTTTATTTAATGTTTTTCCTGTAACTAGTGGTGCGATTTTCTTGAAATTTTATTTGTGGCTACTCCGAAGCATATTACATTTTTTATGACAATTTGGCAAGAGAGTGGCCATTTTGGAAAGTGGTTGACATTTTAATCCTGTTATTTTACAATTTTGCTCTATTCGGAAAATTAACATTTACCTGAGATATGATATACAGTGTTCGCGCTAGCCATTAAAATTTCTGAGTCCCAGGGACGCAACCCATTTGAAAAATTTGAGTCCCCATCTAATTTTTTTGCATCCCTCTTATTTCTTCACAAAGTTCAAGAAAATATTGTGAAAGTGAAAATAAAGTGGGCGATAATAGAGTGCTTACACTAAAATGGGATAAAAATGACATATATTGTAATTTGATGTATCCTCCCGATAAATATCAATCACTGGGTCCTTTTCACACAATTCTTAAGTAATGTTATACCAAAATAGTCCGAAATGAATAAAGGAAATGCTCAAATTAAGAGTTTTGTTTTCACATTTTACAAACTTGCGATCTTGAAGGTCATGTCAAGGTCGTGAACTTTTGCTTCTTTTTATTAATATTTCTCCTTATTCTGAAGACTTTTAGATGAAAAACCTCGATCTATCATTAAACAATTATCTTGATGTATAACATTAGATCGATATATAATGGTTTCTAGTGGAAATTATAAAGATAATCGTGAAAAACAATCGTTTCAATTTGTGGGGAACCACAGGGGATTTCTGCAATATTGTATGTTTTGATCTTCCATTTCGATTGCGGCATTTTCCGGAGTATATCGAAACCAATCAAAATCCATGTCTCATACTGGAAACTCAGTTAATCTTTGGTAGTCATGATAGCCAATCAGATTTGTCGATATAAATATACCTGGATCATTGCTTGCATATCAAGGTAGTGAGTTTGAAAATCTTGATGAAAATCATGTTTCACCGCTACTGTGCTGCAGTAGAAGTTATCTTGAAGCAGTTTATAATTTTAGCGTCCTAGGGACGTAAGTTGATTTTGATTTTTACGTCCAACCTTCTGAAATTTCCGTAAAAATGGCAAAAAACGGCGTCAACGCGAACACTGAATTATATATATATATATATGGTTCTAGCCAGGATAAAGATACCAGTTCTTCAACTCGACAATGGGAAGAACTGCTCTACCTAAGTGACTAATATGTCATTATATGACATCTATGAAATTCACTGTCATGTTCACTGTCTATGTGGGATATTACAGTTGTTAAATGTCAATTTTCAAAACAGAAGCCATTGCTTTATCCCGTTCCCGGACTATAGTCCTGCACTGAGCGCATTCATTTGCCTGTACGATTACAACTTGGGAGAATTATCTACGCCCCTTACACTTAAGATACCTACCTCAATGCATTATAGAACTCAGGATGTAACTTCTAATATATTGGAACCGCCGATTGTCTGGGTATATCGGCAGAACGGGAACATTTTCTCTTTTTCATCGAGAGAGATTCCATCACTTTTCAAAATGGCGGTTGGATTTATAAGGGGAATCCCCCGTTTGGCTGTCCCGGATGTAGCCCGGAAGTACCAATATGGAGGAATTTGACGGTTGAAATAAGTTAAATGTTACACGCAAATATTGCGATCAAAAACGAAAATGTCTTCGTTCTGCCGATAAACCCAGACAATTGTGGATTCAACTACACGAAAAGAATGCTAAATTACCAAGGAATCTATTGAAGTAGGTATCTGAAGTGTAAGATGAGTAAAAAATTCTCCCATGTTGTAATCGCACAGGCAAAAGATTGAGATGTTCACAGGACCATAGTCTGGGAACGGGATAACCATTGCTGTTCTATGGAATTCGTTACGCTTTGGTGTTGCTGTTATCTAGTTTCAAATCTTGCAAAATAGGACAAAATACTTCTACTGCCCAGTTATTTCTATCATGAAATGGTAAAAATGATGAATGATTAAATTGGTTTTGTTGATGGGATTTATTAGACTGTCTTTTAAGAAGTGAAGTTGAATGAATGCAAAGGGTAATTTGTCAAGTGGTTTGTGCCTGGTAAACTAAATATTTTCCTGGTCAAATCTTATGGCTTGCCTTGTCCAAGTTTTCATTGTATTTTGACATATATATAACAGTATAAAGCCTGTTCATGAGTGTACTGTGATGTCAAAATCTGAAATATCATCAGTCTATATGAACTGACCTGGTAAAACATGGCATGAATGCACTGATATAAACCAGATGACTGTGTTGTAGACATCACAGAAATCTAACTTATAAATCACCCCTTGAATTTCAACAGATATTCAGATTTCACCAGTTTGATGATATTTTAATGACCTATTTCAAGTTGTAGTGTTTCTGAGAAGTATCAATGTTTACAACTTGAAATAAGGCCCTCTCTTGAAGGCTAAAGTATGTAAAACTTACGTTAAGCATTTGTAAGACCAGAGGAGGACGCTTTTTTATTTCTTATGTCCTTAAATTTCAGCTTATTCTGTACAATACAACATATTTCTCTAAAAAACAGACAAACATTCTAAATCATTGTTTATTTTACGTACATGTTGATTGTTGATGAATCTGATAGATAAGGTTAAAAATGTGAAACACTTAATTCATGTACTTTTGCCTCAAACTATAAATCATGCTTCACATTTGTAATAAGATCTCTGGCCTATATTCCAGTAAGAGTGAGGTCCCATACACGCCTGAATATATGGTACAATGTGGAGATAGTCTACAGCACTCCATTGTCCAAAGTGTTCGATGTGGCCATTCTAAAGTTGCTCAACTACACACCAGATTCTCTACCTCAGGCTAATATTTGCTCAGATGTTAAAAAAGGTAAGTGGTATCTATACTGTATGTGTATAATAATAGTGTAGTGTAGTGTAGTGTAGTGTAGTGTAATGTAGTGTAATGTAGTGTAGTGTAGTAAGCTTTTATTTTTGTACTGACTAATATGTCATACCATGACATTCTAAGAGTCAATAAAAGATATATATATTGTTATTGCATAGGCCAATGGAAAAGTAGTATTAAACCTAAATAAACATCTGATAAAGGAAAACAAGTTCCTCAGTACACATTGTGTCATACAAATCAAATATGGAGGAAGTTCTGCATTTCATTAAATATAGAACTCTATTACATCACTACCATCACAACACAATATCTTTGTAGATTAAAGAAACTGTGTAAATGTAGTTTGTATAATTGTACATGTAGTTTGGCCATGCCCTAATGAAGCTTCTATATTGAGCTTGATAAGTTAATACTACTTTTCCCTTGGCCTATGTTGTAACTGGAGGGGGAGGGCATCTGAACCTAGGGTCCAAAAATCAGGATGTGCAATTTTATGTAGGCTAGGCAAATTCACAGGGAGCTATTTACATACAGACATATGTTCTATGGTTTTCAGCACAATTGCATTTAGATTTGCCCAAATCAGATAATATAAATAAGTTTATAAGAATTGAACAACACAAATCTGAAATGTCCCGATTAAAGTAGATGTGGTACAAAATACTGCAATGCATTTGGTTTTAATGGCGAATTTTGAAAATAAATTTTTGATAGATTTTGATATCTTTTTATTACAATATTTGAACATGTTTAGCCTCATATTCAGCTGTATTTTGGTATACAGCGTATTGTTGGACATTTTCGGGAACACACTGTAAACTTATATTTTGATTAAATATTTGCTGCATGGAACTTATCATTTGGTTGACAGTTTTGAATGTTCAAGGAACAAAGTTCAGTATGTCACGTTATGAGATTTATGGGTTTCTTCCAAAAAGTTGAAACTCAGGCATCAAAAAGATGTTGACAGATTAATAGTTTTCCTCACCCAGTGGTTTAATGAGATTAGAGAATAGAGCTGGGAACAAAGACACTCAACGCAGAGTTTCAGTGATCCAGCCAGTGATAGATAAAACATTCCCTCTGACCTCATAGTTTGCGAGGTGCCCTGGGATACTGGGGTCAACTTCCAGAGTCTGGGGTTTGCATAAGCCAGCTGAATCACTGATCTGCTCTGTGTTGTTGTTAGGCCATTAATCATTTTGATCACTGGTCACTTTGAGTTTTAAAACCTGCACTGGTAAAGAATTGGACACTTTTTGGCTTGGCTTTAGATTGTGAAGATGTATTGTAATTTGTAACTGTTTGGACTAAACTTTAAAATTATTAATAAAGTATGAGTATTAAGGAATCGACTTGTTTCACCATTCTAAGCACTTTTCAAGTGATTTTGGCCATTTTGGGGCCAAAGTTGTCAAAATAGAACTCTCTGGAATTCTTTGAAAAGTGAACCCCTTTGGCAAATCCTGGCTTTGGGCCTGTCATGCCTCCTACAATCAGAGTAATCATGTTACTACACATTTCATTTTACATTCAAACTCCCATAAAAGTCATGAAAGCTACATTTGGTTCATTATTGATGTCTTATCATCAGCTTATACTATGAAATTACCTGAAATTGTCGGAGGAAATGTCACTAGCTGGTGTGATCAGGGTACCTGTGTTACACAGCTGCCATAGTAACCAGGGACTCTCAGTCTCTTTGTATACATTGTCTGGTTAGCCATTGAATGTGGATAAGGAAATGTTCCAGTAAAAGACTTCTATGTACAGACACTTCAGGTTATTATGGCATTTTTTCAATAGAATATATTTTCCACAGAGGTCAAAATGTTGCTTTAATAACACACTCTGAAAACTTAGAAACCGAAAATACAACTTAATGATACAGTTGCAAAACCATACATTGATATTCCTAACAATGGCTGATAACCATTGTCAAACGTCTCCCCCACAACCTTCCAATTTTGAATATGACCTTATTGTGTAATACAGAGACCTGGAGACATATTGTTACAGCCACCATATTTTGTAACTGGCTTTCAGAATTCATCATTGTAGTCTGTAACATTTGTTACACATTTCCACATTTATAGCACATGTTGTGACATTCTGTTATTTATTACTTCAGGTATGACAGTGTATGCAGTTGGCCATGCTCTGTTCGACAGTCAGCATAACCTCTCTCCAACCATGACTAGGGGAAACATCTCAACTGTGGTCTCCAGAGGACATATGCCAGTCATTCTACAGGTAAGTCAATTTTATTATTATTATGTCCCCACCACATAGTGTGGGGCCATATTGTCGGCCTAGGCGCGTCCGTCCGTCCATCTGTCTGTCTGTCCGTCCGTCCGTCGTACGTCCGGCAGTTTTCTCCAAAACCGCTACAGATATCACCTTCAAATTTTCAGGGATAACTTATGAGTGCATACAGATGTGGATGAAAAAATTTTAACTCGATACCTACTTCCTGTCGGCCATTTTGAAGTCAAATGCTAAAATCCTTGTCTGCAAAATTTAAGAAAAAAGGCTTCACAGTTGCTTTTAAAACTTTAACATCTTGTTCAGCTCACTTCATTCTAGATCTGATTAGGTTTTGGACCTGTTAGCTCAGTCATTGCAGCCATTTTTAATGTCTTAAGAAAAGTTAGCGTGCGATAATACTTTGTATCATATTGAATGGTGTTTTTGATTTTTCATACTTTAACTATTTAGTAGCTTTATAAATAATTTCAGGTGTACTTTGTTGTAAAAGCCTTTGTTATTGTTAATGGTGGTTATATGTGGTAATTTTGTAAAAAGAAATCAGCAAAAACTCATAATCACTTTTTTATTGTCGGCCATTTTGGATTTTTCCGTCCTAAAATCTTGTTTGTATAGTCTTGTCTACGCGTTTTCAGGTGAACCGTTTGGTAGATCAATTTCAAATTTTTAGGGATGATTCTAAGTATGAAAATCTAGATCTGATTAGTTTTTTGGCATTCTGGGTAAATGTCAAGGCGGCCATTTTGGATTTTCTGTCTTAAAATCTTGTCTGTAAAGTCTTGTCTATGCATTTCCAGGTGAAGCGTTTGGTAGATCAATTTCATATTTTCAGGGATGATTCTTAGTATGAAAATCTAGATCTGATTAGTTTTTTGGCATTCTGGGTAAATGTCAAGGCGGCCATTTTGGATTTTCTGTCCTAAAATCTTGTCAGTAAAGTCTTGTCTACGCGTTTTCAGGTGAACCGTTTGGTAGATCAATTAAAAATTTTCAGGGATGATTCTTAGTATGAAAATCTAGATCTCATTAGTTTTTTGGCATTCTGGGTAAATGTCAAGGCAGCCATTTTGGATTTTCCGTTCTAAAATCTTGTCAGTAAAGTCTTGTCTACGCATTTTCAGGTGAACCGTTTGGTAGATCAATTTCAAATTTTCAGGGATGATTCTTAGTATGAAAATCTAGAACTGATTAGTTTTTTTACATTCTGGGTAAATGTCAAGGCGGCCATTTTGGATTTTCCACCCTAAAATCATGTCTGTAAAGTCTTGTTTACATGTTTTCTGGTTAACTGTTTGATGGAGTGGTTCTTAGTATGAAAATCTAGAACTAACTAATTTTATGGCATTCTGGGTGCCCATTTTGGATTTCCTGTCCTCAAATTGTGTCGGTAAAGTCTTGTCTACTCATTTTCGGGATAACCATTTGATGAGATCACCCATTGGTGGGGACATTTTGTACACATTTGTGTTCTTGTTGATAAATATGTCAGCATTTGTTCCAAAGGCACTGCTACCCACCTAATTACACAGACGTATCGTCGGTGTATCATGGCGGAACTTCCTCCGGGACTAGGTTTCGGTAAGATTTTTTTATTTCCCGATTTACACCTACTTATAAGTCACGTTGTGGATAATAATTTGGCTCGAAGTTAAGGAAGATAGTCTAGTTTGAGAATGTGTCGATGGTTTTAGGTTTTATATGTTAACAAAGACACAATTCACGTATTTAGTCCCTCGCTTTTCTTACACTAACGATCGGCATTAATATTGCCAATATTACACAGCCAAATTATTATCCACAACGTGACTTATAAGTAGGTGTAAATCGGGAAATAAAAAATCTTACCGAAATTTAGTCCCGGAGGAAGTTCCGCCATGATACACCGACGATATGTCTGTGTAATAGGTGGGTAGCAGTGAAAGGGGGAAAAGAAAATATTGGAAAAGGAAAGAATACAAGTGTTTATAAGGGAACACCCTCCCCAATAACTTCATCATAGCTTTACGATACAAATAAAGGTTGTCTAATAACCAGCCTCTCTACCCCTCCATTGACAATTAACAATCAAAAGTACAAGACCACATATAGTATTAATAGGACATTGGTTTTTTGGCCCACCCTGTCCATGTATATTGTACCTTTTATTGAATCTGATGTCATTACAATGACATATTAGTCACTACAGTATGCAATATACAGACTAAATTAACTAAAACTAGACTTAACTTAGCACAAAATTCAAGTAAGTAAATACAGCATGACCAAAAAAGTACAAGTCATTAAATTAATTTTAAAATACAGCATGACAAAATGTTAAAATATCAGTGTGATGTTATGTATCATTGACACAATATTAATCCAAAATTTGAATGAATGCTAAATGAACTCAATTCAGTTGGGATCAAACTCATGCTCAAACTTAAACTCATGTTCTGCCACTGAGCCATATCTGCGTGTATTAACCTATTCATCCGAGTGAAATTCAATTGATATACTTACTGTAGACGTGGAAAATTATCCGAGTTCAAATTTACGCATTCATCTATTTAATTTAAATTTCGTGTGTTTTTATTTACACGCATTGGAGATGGTCCCTTATTAAAAGATAAATCTGCTCTTGGCAAATAGTACGGTGTTAGTATTAGGGGGTATTAGATCTGTTGGAATGAACCAATCAGAGCACAGTTATCAAAAGGGAGTTCAATCTGCTAAGCTGCCATATACTGTACATGTACCGTACATTTAGGCTACTACGGTGAAAGAATAATATAGTAAATTCTCCAGAGAAAATGTAAGTGTGGACCATATAAAATGAATACACTAGAAAAACGAGCCAAGGTGGCTAAATATGCACTAGAACATGGAGTAATGAATGCCAGTCGAAACTTCGAAATGAGTGAAAGCTCCATTCGTTCAAAATGGATGGATCAGGCCTTTGTTGAACTGTAAATCAAGTGATGCGCTCCGTGGGAGCTGGGACGATGTATTTACAATTTGTGTTTATTTCACCTTGTGTTTTATGCGCTTATTCTTTAATAATAGACTAGTTTGTCTATCTAATAAAGATCAGTTTCAGTGTCAATACATTGTTAGTTTTTATTTTTGACCCGATCCCTCTTGTTAGGCCAACGACTTTGGCCTACTACGCATACGTAGTGAACTTATTATTGAACTTCGAAACTTGGCACAATATTCCTACAGAAATATATGTTTTATCTGGTATATAGGCAACAAAACTTGTGTAATATAATTAGAGGCAATTTTCAATTGAGATGATTAATTACACGGGTTTATATTTACGCGCACACAATACCCCCTGCGAATATAGTGTAAATTAAAACACAGCATATTTTTCCATGTCTACAGTAGTAAAAATTTTGAATCATTATTCTCACGATCTGAAAGTAACATACTGAAGTGGACATATCAAAAGATTAATGGTTGAAGTTGAATATGTCAAAAATTATGTTTTGTGTACAATTCATATTCACAAGATTTGTACCTTGTCTTCAAAATTTCACATTTTGGAACACTGACATGTTAAAAATGTAAATAAAGTTTTATTTTCTGTCATCCAGAGCAGTTGTGCAGTACATTCAGGAGCTAGTGGGGGAGCTTTAATGACTCCTGAGGGACTGGTTGCTGGACTGATCACATGTAATTCCAGGTAATTAAATCTGTTATTCCTGTGCACACTGGGGAGTATCGTGATGCAACAACACCGTGTTGTTGCATCAAGATGGCCAGACTTCCGGTGATAGATTTTCGTACGATATTTTGTTTCCCCAATTAAACCCATTTCTAGGACGAGTTGCTCAATAACCATACACGTGCAGTTAGCGCACGATCTATATTTAAAGAAACTGACATTAGTATACATGTACCATCACCAAGAAGCAATAAGTTCACGGTTTTAGTTCCTCACTATTGATGCAACAACACCAAACCGAAGATGCAACAACACTCCTCTAGATTTGAGCAATGATGCAGCAACACCAATTAATAGTATAATTTCAGAAGACCATAAATCTCGAGAGGAACAGATGGCAAGCTTTAGTAATCCAATCTATTTTCATAAACCACTGTTCCATAGCTTGATGACCCTGACTCCAGTTAGTATCATTCAAAATGGTGGACAAACATCTTTCGTTCTCGGTAAACATGATGAGCTATTGGAAATTATCTGTCATCCATCTGTGGAACAGTGATAAACTAGTAGATGTACGTTACCACTGTTTATCAAATTATAACTAAAACAGTTTAACTGTGACATTCGTGAGCTTATGTTGATGGGATGATTGCTTCATCTATGATATAATTTGATATGATTATTTATTTCCTCCAATTTGGAGAGCCAACGTGTAAAAACGTCTAATTGACTTTATCAGAGAGGCCGTTTAATTACACGTTTAATGGAAATCTTGCACGACGCACATGTAGAATTATTGCTCTCTTTGGATTCCTTCTCTCCGACTGAGTAAAAAGGTAAGCAAAAGTGATAAGATTAAGGGCCCAAAAAGGTAAATTGATAGGGGTACAGTTATCCCAGATATCCCGGGCCCTCGGGAAATATCATATTGTCTCTCGGAATAAAACAATATTGAATCCATCTCTCAGTAAATAACCTTTATATAATAGCATTGTATAACTGCAATATCTTTAAACCAAAACTCATCGTATACAACTCTTAGGGACGATGTACAACTCCTGGATAGCGTAAACTCCTGAGCAGCGTATACAACTCTTCAACTTGATATATGACATCATACTTTGGGTGGGATAACAAAGGATATACAATATACAATTGTAGACCTCTCTTGAGGTCAACTGGCAAAATTGTATACCGATACTGTAATCCTTGAAAGTTCGGAGGTCGAGGTCAACAGTACTCTCAGGGTTTACTGTTGAGGTATACACTTTGGCCAGTTGACCGAATAGAGAGGTTAACAATTGTTTGTGAGTCCGAAGAATATAATAATTTGAAGGATATAATATACAATTGTAGACCTCTCTTAAGGTCAACTGGCAAAATTGTATACCGATACTGTAAACCTTGAAAGTACTGTTGATCAAGACCAGGGGTCGAGGACACTTTTGCCAGTTGACCGAAAAGAGAGGTTAACAATTGTTCTGTTAGTCCAAATAATATAATAATTGAACGAATATATAATCGAATATCACGTGAACATATTTGATAAGTAAAGGTATCATATTTTAGCAAAAAATCCCCAAACCGTCGAATACTTGTAATTTTTTACACAACTTATTTTTTCAAAATTAAAAAAATTCAACATTAAAACACAATTTTTCAAAAATAGGGGTCAACAGTACCTAGTAGTGGTCAACAGTTTACAATTGTTGACCTCCCCAGAGGTCAACCGGCAAAATTGTATACCGAGACTGTAAACCGAAAAACTACTGTTGACAGAGACCAAAGGTCGAGGTCAACAGTAGTTTCAAGGTTTACAGTCGAGGTATATGATTTTAACGTTTGATCGAATAGAGGGGTCTACAACTGTTTTGTTAGTCCGAGTAAACTAATAATACACATATAGACGACAATCATCAATCGGCATGGCTTCATTTCACAACCTTTCCTCCTTACCACATTAGCAATATTTTTTTTAGAAAATCTGGAGACAGTGCAAGTAGCTTAACTCTGTATTTGGCACATCACGGCGTACTCGTTAGTGAATTAATGTTAATTTTAAGTCTCTATTTGTATTTTTGCTATACTTGTCGCCTAGTAAAGTCATTTTCATCAACGTTTACAAAATGTCCGTCTTCCATGTTTTTTTGTGACGTCATGAAACTTTTTTTCAGAAGTAGCGGTCAACAGTAGTAGCAGTCAACAGTACATAATTTTGACCGCTAATCACCCAATCAGAATCGAGTATTTCAGTTGTGGTACTAACAATACATTTTGTTGACCGCTCATCAACCAATCAGAATTGAGTATTTCAATTGAGGTACTAACAACACAAAATGACTGATATCTGTTGTCTTTCCAAAATTATATTGGTTATTTGTAAGCAATTTCCATACGGTAAATCAAGGGCATTCAATTTAGAAAATGTATAATCTTTATTTTTCAGGTATAATATCAATGAGATAATATCAATGAGATTGCCTCCCGGGGATTCTGTACTTTATTTAGTTTGCCTTGTATATCCTTTTAACTTTGATATAGACAAAGAAACCAAACAAAATACGTTTCGTTCATGTTTTATTCATGTCCCGACCTACACCTGTAAACAGAACATACAGTTTCTCTTGTTGTTCAATGATACATTATATTGGCGTTTTTGCATCAGCACATTGGTGTTGTTGCATCATCGATAAGAATCAGAGTGGTGTTGTTGCATCAATAGTGAGGAATTAAAACCACGAATTTATCGCTTCTTAAAGATGCTACATGTATACCAACGACAGTTTTTTAAAATATAGATCATGGGCTAACTGCATGTGTATGATTATTGAGCAACTCGTCCTAGAAATGGGTGTAAATTGGGAAAACAAAACATCGTACGAAAATCTATCACCGGAAGTCTGGCCATCTTGATGCAACAACACGGTGTTGTTGCATCACGATACCCCCCAGTGTGTGCAATTCCAGATAAATTACACAATACTCCAAATATTCCTTTATATTGAGGTGAATGCATGTTCACATTTCACTCAGTATGTTCTCGCAAACTGAGGGGCTTTGTGATATATTCAGTTGAATAAAATAAACATAAAAAAATAAATAAACATAAAATCATATGTCACCACCAAAAATGGTGACATATTGTTATGGTCTTCATTTTTTATGTCAGCGGTTGGTGTCTGGCATTTGGCATCTGTATTTAATAGCATGTGAGGACATTTTGTGTGTTAATGCCTTGTTTAAATCATGTGATCAGTTCTTATCCAATGAGAAAGCAAGAAACATTCTAGTGATATAATTAATCCAAATATTTCATTTTAATCAAATATTTCATTTTAATGTGGTGAATGCCAGTGCACAATTCATGCGTGACCTGTATTTGACCAATTAAATATAGCAAGATTGATAGTGATTTATCATAACGCATGACATTTGTACTCAGGTAAATATCTCTTTGATAACAAATAAATTACAGGTGAAAAAAATATACATGTATGTTATTTCCAGGGTGGATAAAAGTATATGTTTTGTCTTGTAGGGATACTGATAGTGGTGCCTGTTTCCCACATGTTAACCTAAGTGTTCCTCTTCCGACCATCTGGCCAATATTGCGACACTACATTCAAAACAAAGGTAAGAACATTGTATATATATTTGACAATTTCATAATTTATCTACATATTAATTCTTTCAGAATTAAATTGCTATTAAGGTTGCATCCTGCTTGAATCCTACTACACACAATGTAGATATATGCAACATTATTACTATTATGGGAAGGTACATTAAATTCAAAATTGCAATAAGTGCTCTGTTTTGGAAAAATTCTGGATTATTAAAGTTTAAAAGTTTTTTGAATTGAATGTTCAAAGTAGAAAAAATCTTGATTTACATCATTTAATATTCAAAATTCAGTCAAAAGGATATCATATTTGAATTCTACATTTAAATTACATCTAAAGTGTGATTTCCAAAATTGTTTATCAACTTTGAAAATTTAGTTTTCTTTGAAAAGGTGACTTCTAGGTCGGGAGATTCCCCATAGACCCCATTTGTTATAAAATCACAAAAAGTGAAATATCTTTTCTTTAATTATAGTGATAATATTTTGTTTTACTGAACATATTTTGATTTGTATAACTACCGGATGCATATAATAAGGGTAATATGAAAATTGATCCAGTGGAAGTTCAAGTTTAAGGGAACTTTCTAATGTACCTGTCATGTTATCTGACCAGAATTAGCCACCTGGTGGTGAAACTGGTAACTATCTACTGGCATCTGAGTTATTGCCAGACAATTCTCTATCGGTCAGTAATTTTCTTAGTTTTTCAATTAGCGGATGGGATGGTAACGCCTGGTCTTAACTTAAACATCATTGCCCTATTACAGCATATTTTGATTAAGATTTCAAAAATATTATTTTGGTACCCTCCTGCTACATGCCCATATTATGTCCTCCAGATGTGAAGATTCTGAAGCACCTGAATGTTGAAGATATGGTCATTGCGAGCCTGTGGAAGCTTCAGAGATACAGTGAGTACATGCATGGTCAAATGTTTCAACTAACAAAAAGCATGTTAGTCAAGTCCCCTTTGAACTAATTCCCATATCAAGTTCTATACTTTTTTGTAAACTATGATATTGTGAAGAACTTATTTAAATGAATGAACCAGAAAGAATCGGAGGAGTTATCTCAATTTGAATATGAAGTTTTGAAAACAATAGCCAATAGGTAGCGATCTGAGGCACTTCGATCAGGGTGTTGTCGGGACAATTTCTCTTGTGACTTAGGTTATGTATTTAGGTCTATCTCAACAGATTTTACTGGTCTTATGCGCCGCAAATGGTGCGAAAGATGTTAAAATTGCATTTTCGACCCTAAAATTCAGATTTCTTGGGGGTACATTATTATTTAGCTATAAAACAAAAACTAAACAACCAATGCTTCTTTCTTTTGGTGTTTCTGTTAAGAGTAATCATACTTGAAATGCATATGTAAAAAAATTGAAGAATTTTAACTTTATTTAAAAACAGCAACATTTTTTCACCCTAAAATCATAGAATTTAGGGGGGTTGAGAGACATTGATTGGAATTGATTTTTTAATTTCTCAATCAATCTCAGGTTAATATCAATGGAACTTTCCTAAAAGTAGCACCAACATGTCCCCAACACATTACCATAAAGAAAAAACTCAAACTCTAACATGTTCTTTGCCTATATGGGTCAATTTACCTCTCCCCTCTTTCCCTTATAAAAGGGGTGTGGCCATTAATACATGTGGATTTAAACAGTAGCATGATGTCACATTAAATGAATACATGTACATATCATGTATTTTATCAAATATATTACCATAAAATATTTTCACTTAGGTGTATACATATAGTACATACCTGTGAATTATTTATAATACAATATTTTTTCTATGTAGGCTTGAGATATAAGAATATTAAAAATCTGAAGTTGAATATTATCTAATACACAGTTCACGACTCAGTCATAATATTAATTTTACTCATTGTATGAATTTCTGTCATCACAAATGTAGTTTTTATTCACCAGAATATATTTGATCCATAAAGCTTTGTATTTCATAAACTTCCTCTTCATTTTGATCTTCTAAAGTATCATCTTATACGATAACATCTACCAGGTCCTGGGGTAGAATTTTATCTGGATTTGACACCCATTGAAATCCAAATGGCCATCTTTCATCCTCCATCCATGTGACACAGGAGAGGGAATTGATGGGGAGGGGATGTTGGCAAGTTTCCATATGTGTGCTTGATAACTGGCCCTTGCCAGATGCTGCTGTAATGAATCTTTACATGGGGGTAGGAGGCTTATTGTTAGTGCCTTCATAGCTTGTTATCATACTTGGAGCAGATTTTGGTTGAAATTTGTTCTTGAATAAGGTATATCTCAGCTCATTTATATTTGAACACTTTTTGTTTCCATACATCTGGCAAGTAAACTTCTCAGCACATTTAGCAGTTTGATCACTAATGACCCCTCCAATGGTGCCGAAACCTTTTTGAAATTCTCATAAGTAATTTTAGGGGGGGGGGGACACTTTCTCCCTTCTCACAAAGGCACTGAAGGAATCACATCCAGTAAATGAATGGAAGGTTGGTAAAGCATTACAAATTTACAAATGTCTGAACTGAGCGCATTTCCTACTTCCTTTACATTAAAGGGGCAACAAGGGACTGTAGAGAGAAAATTCAATTTTTTTTCTTTTTTCTGAGCTATCAGGTCAATATTTGGCTTAACATCTTCTTTGACATATCTATTTTCTTAAAATGTATGGATAAACTCTCAATTTAGAAGTGTAAATTCAGTTCAAAGCTTCTATAAAGGGAGTCCCACTTATAGATTTTTAAGATTCACCACGTTTCAAGAGGAATATCAGCTGAAATAATGTTCATCAAGGGGGTTTCTTTGTAGATAATAAAAATATATGTTACTCTTGATGTACCCTGTGTGCAGAGTCTAGTTAAACTACACTCTGCCAAGTAGAGACCATATTACAGTTTAGTAGCCCCGCCCCACGACGGGTACCGGTGACAGTTTGGGTAATAAATCACTTTTGACCTACGCGCTGCCCTTTCTTCCACCAATCAGCGAGCTTGAAGAAACATACGTCAAATGCGTTCTAATTAAATATGCGCATGTCATTGGTCAATTCCGGGCTCAACGATGACGTCAGAAGGAATGACCATATATAGAACGTCAGTCAAATTTGGCCGACGAACACTGATTGGCGCGGTGAGTTCACAGGTTTATTTTAGTTTGAAAGAGTGAAGACAAAGCTCTCTTTTAAGAAGCGAAGTCAAACGAATGCAAAGGGTACTCTTGATGAAATATCCAAACTTAAATATATTTTGACACTGGTCGATGATCGTTGAATTACCCCCCTGCACTAATTGTTGCACCTTTAATAAGTCATATGTGGTCTGCACTACCAGTGTCAAAAATTTATGGAGTTTGAATAAGATTGGAAAGTGCACAAGAAGTACAAAAACATCGCTATCTGGGGATCTCACAACTATAGTTTTTTTTCTGTATTTTCAGGTTCATTTCATGTTAATTGCATGGGGTATAATTTTTGTATCTGCCTCTTTGTGGGAAGATTCCAGGCTTGATTCAACTCTATGTGTAACAGTAGTTCTATCACTGGTGCACTGTACAGATCTCACCACATGAATCTGTCTTTCTTTGAGTTTAGGGGCATTTTTATCTTTTTCCATTCTTCAAGGATCAACTGACTCAGCTGCATTTCATTCTCATCATTTAAGAGGAATTCCTTCCAATTGTTAGGAATTCTGGTATTAGGTCCTTTTATTATTAGCTTTTTGGAGACACGCCTGCGTATTCTTTCTGGTTCTTTAATTGAATCTTTCTTATAGGAAGCATCTGAAGGATCCTCTCTGCCAGTAATCCAAATGTTTTGGGTCGCTCAGGAAGTATATGGAACAATGCATTGCCATCATAAACTATAATTGTTTTTTCTGGTTTGGGTCCATGTAATATTATATGTTTCCAGCTCATGTAATAATTTTGACTTTTCTGTTTTAACCAAGAGTCCATCAGGTGTTCCAAGAGCCCAGGGTATTAGACTCAGGGGGTATTCCAATATTCGCTTTAGACTGATACTATGCTGCTCTGATAACATGACTAACTGGCCAAATGTATTGCGCTCAGCTCTAATCTCAATCAGTCTGTTTCCAGAGCTTTTCACCTTTTTGACTCCAGCATTGAATTCAGATGTTTTCAGTTTCATTCTTTTATGGAGTCATGAAAACTTTTTCCCTTCTGCACAAATTGGTCTTGAATAAATTGCTTAAAGGCTTGTGTGCCCCTGGATGCTGCATTTAAGAGATCATCTGCTAAATTAGAGAGTGTTGGCATTCCAGATGATATGCAGTATAAATGATCATTGTCCTCAATTTGGAATGGATTGAGAAAGCCATCAATTGAATCAATCAAATTAGTTAATAATAGAACATCAGACAGTAATAAGCCTTGAATAGCTTACTATTCTCCCTTATTGTTTTGCTACATGTTCCCTGCAAATAATAGATAGCAATTTATAATTGCAATTAGATAATCAGTTTATTAATTAAAGTTAAATATAAAGGTGTTTTGTATAAAGTAAAACCTGTGTACAGTGAACATCTATAGAGCCACAAAAAAAGATTTCAATACAGAAAGACAATTTGTATTGGAATCAAGGTATGTGCTGAAAATAGGGTGTTCATTTTACACAGGTGTTCACTAGAGAAAGGTGTTCACTAACCCAGGTCCCACTGTATTAGGCTTATGTTATTTCAAAGACATTCACTAGCTACAAGTAAAACAAGGCATTAACATGACAAAATGTCACCACCTAGTTGAAACAAGATAAAAAATACCTTTTTGACCTTGAGGAGGTCACTAAAGGTCAGATCCATTTTGACCTTTAAAATGTCATTTAATGATCAAATCTATATTCTTAAATCTTAAAAAGGTCATTGAAGGTCAAATCTCAAATCTTTAGTCAGATTTGAACTTCTGATAACTTATAGATGATTTTGAAAAATTGGTTAATTTGAAGCAAATTGAAAAAAGACTTTTTCTGACCTTGAAAAGGTCATTGAAGGTCAAATCTTAAATATAAAGTCAGATTTGAACATCTGAAAACATGTAGATGAAATTTAAAAAACAATTGAAGTCAGTCTATACAGTATTTGTTAATTATTTGAAATTGTAAGAATTTGTTACAGACACCAATTGCCAAGCTCCAACCACAAACCGCCGACCACTGACCACTGTCAAAAAAGAACAGAGACCATAACAATATGTCACCACTTTTTGTTGGTGACATAAAAATGATAACATGATGTGAACCATCCTCCTAAGCAGGTGTCCAGAATCCGTACCTCCTTCTTCCCCCTGCGATAACCAATTTGGACGCGCCTGATTTAACTGAATCATGTGATCTAATTATGCACAATGACTTATACATGATTTCTGTCGCAGTGTTGCGACAGCCAATCAGATTGCGAGTTCTTAATCTGGGAAATGGTAACTGCTTATTGCTGGGGGTAAAAAGAAAGAATATGTTCTGGATTTTGAAGCCCTGTGATCGGAGGATGGCTAGAACATGAAGTATTTATTTTTAGATGAACATGCCAATATGGCCACGCCCTTCTAAGAAGGGATAGAGGGGAGAGGTAAATTGACCCATATAGGCAAAAAACATGTTAGAGTTTGAGTTTTTTCTTTATGGTAATGTGTTGGGGACATGTTGGTGCTACTTTTAGGAAAGTTCCATTGATATTAACCTGAGATTGATTGAGAAATTAAAAAATCAATTCCAATCAATGTCTCTCAACCCCCCTAAATTCTATGATTTTAGGGTGAAAAAATGTTGCTGTTTTTAAATAAAGTTAAAATTCTTCAATTTTTTTACATATGCATTTCAAGTATGATTACTCTTAACAGAAACACCAAAAGAAAGAAGCATTGGTTGTTTAGTTTTTGTTTTATAGCTAAATAATAATGTACCCCCAAGAAATCTGAATTTTAGGGTCGAAAATGCAATTTTAACATCTTTCGCACCATTTGCGGCGCATAAGACCAGTAAAATCTGTTGAGATAGACCTAAATACAGAACCTAAGTCACAAGAGAAATTGTCCCGACAACACCCTGATCGAAGTGCCTCAGATCGCTACCTACAAGCTTAGGATCTCAAGTATTTCAAAATACATGTATGTCTGCTGTAAAATCTTTCTGGTTAACATTCATTTAAGTAATTATTATAAGATAATATGAGATTATAAAGGCTTTCAAAGTTTTTCTATGTGATTCTTGATAAATGCAACTTTTAGTTGAGTCTTATGAGTCTCCATATTGCTCATTGGAACCTACAGCCTATATTTTGGTTTTTAGTGATTTGTCCTATTATATTTTTTATCGCCTACATAAGAGTGGAGTCCAATTGAAATTTTATTTTTCAGTTCATCAAACACTTAGTCGTCTATAAGGAGCTTTCATAGATGCAACATATAATTACAATAATGATGACTGTAATAAAACATGAAACATTCCATCTGAAGGCATTACCATATATACAATCATACGTTGGACATTATTGGCCAAATATTAGTGAATTAACCCACCTGGGGTTCAAAGTATGCCTATATTGTAAACCTGGAACTGTTCCAGATGATTTAATTCAGAAAGTCTGATTTATTTCATATCATATGGAAACATTATCAAGTAGAATGATTATACTTTCTCTTAAAATTGTGCCTTTTGACTTCTGTTATTATACATAGGATGAAGTCTGGATTTATATGTACAAACTAGTCAATGAACAAGAACTGATGCTGAGATCTTACTCAAAAATAAGGATGAATCAGGATTCTTGAAATTCAATTATCCTTCAACATGTAGTTATGCCTTGGTGAGAAATAGTTGGATTTCAGGCATCACAATCTCTTTCAGATTTGACCGCCAGTATATATTGCAGTATAATGTGCAGTATTTGATATATGCAGTAAATGAGAAGTGGCAATATACACAAAAACAATGAAGTATATGAGGGTTATGTTATGGGAGGTTTTGGATATGGGGTATATCCCGAGGGAAATATTGATATCATATTTCCAGAGGGATATACCCCATATCCAAAACCGAGCATCACATAACTTTATCCTATGACAAGTGACTTTTATTTATAATAAATGTTCAATCTCTAGTGGGGAAAGGCTACGACAAGCCCCTTCTGCTTGAGGCTTTTTATTGTACCTAACAAAAGGTACGATATTGTAGTCAGCTTGACGGGCGGCGGGCGGGCGGGCGGCGTCTCACTTTTCAGCTTGTCTACAGGTTTCCAGCCAAACCATTTGAGGGATTCATCTGAAATTTTCAGGGATGTTTCTACATATCAACGTAAAGAACTGATTAGTTTTTGTGCATTCTGGGTAAATCTTAAGGTGGCCATTTTGGATTTTCCGTCCTAAAATCTTCACTTTCAAGACTTGTCTACAGGTTTCCAGCCAAACCATTTGAGGGATTCATCTGAAATTTTCAGGGATGTTTCTACATATCAACGTCAAGAACTGATTAGTTTTTGGGCATTCTGGGTAAATCTTAAGGTGGCCATTTTGGATTTTCCGTCCTAAAATCTTCACTTTCAAGACTTGTCTACAGGTTTTCAGCCAAACCATTTGAGGGATTCATCTGAAATTTTCAGGGATGTTTCTACATATCAACGTCAAGAACTGATTAGTTTTTGGGCATTCTGGGTAAATCTTAAGGTGGCCATTTTGGATTTTCCGTCCTAAAATCTTCACTTTCAAGACTTGTCTACAGGTTTCCAGCCAAACCATTTGAGGGATTCATCTGAAATTTTCAGGGATGTTTCTACATATCAACGTCAAGAACTGATTAGTTTTTGGGCATTCTGGGTAAATCTTAAGGTGGCCATTTTGGATTTTCCGTCCTAAAATCTTCACTTTCAAGACTTGTCTACAGGTTTCCAGCCAAACCGTTCAAATTTTTACATATGTTACACAGTGATAAGTTCTAGAGCTGATTAACTTTTCTGCGGCCATCTTGCTTTCTTGGTCAACAAGACCACAATGCTGTGTTTTAGGTACGATATTGTTCACGTCTGTGCCTTGTTTCTTAGCTAAGGCCTCTCTACATTTAGTAAATTTAATGTCAGTCAGAATATCATATTCATAATTTTTCTTCCTCAAATGCCTGATGAAGCTCCCAAAGAAAGCTCGGGCTAAACTCGGCTGATGATACTCCTCTCCATTTTTTGGACTGCATTGAATGAAGCCAAAAGATCGTTTAGTGCTTCTGGTTCAATTGTTTCTATTGGTCTTAGCTCGCCTTTCTGCACAAGAAAGGATTTGAGAACGCCCATATCCAAAATGGTTTTATTGAGAGTATTCTCATTTTCATTACTTTCAAGAAATTCTTCGACGTTTTGGTCAAGATCTACCACCGTCTGCTTCCATTTTGGTAGTTTCGCTATAGCGAGATATTCTAACGAATTTTGACTGTTAATACACCAAGCGAAAACGTTTTCCCGGGAATATTGGTGCGGGAGATATACAGCGGGAGATATATATATGTTCCGCTCCTCCAAGACATCGATTTTATATCCCGCTGTTATGTACCTTAAACCTCTCTTGTCATAGGATAAAGACTGATACCCAAACATAATCAAATGTAATATTCATGTACATGTAGTTAATATGATAAATATAGACTTATATAAGGAATTCGAATTTTTGCTATTATGAATATTATGTTCTTGTAAAACTGCATCAAACCTATTATGAGAAAACCAGTCTTATCACATATGATAAATAAATATGATAGTTACAAGCAGTAACTCAGGTAGAAAGCTTGATATGATGAAGTATAAAACTGAATATTTTGAGGTTATGAAATGTTGATGTTGTATTGCAGCTTTTAGAGGTCAAAAAGGAATACAAATGTATGTGATAAGGTCCCTTCTCATGATTGGTTGGTTGGTGGTATATTATGAGCAAATTTAATATTATCGTTAATTACTAATACATACAAATAACCCTTTAGTTTACCTGCATGAATAGTTTAAAATATACTTGTTCAGAATAAAATATTTAAGTTTGGAAAGTTAATATGTCACTACCAAAAGTGGTGACATATTGTTATGGTCTTCAATTTTTTCAACTGCAGTTGGCATCCATCAATTGGCTTATGTAACAAATGATGGGTGGTGATATTTTGCATGTTAATGCCTTGTTTCTTATCAAAAATGTGATGAATATCGATGGTATCCCATAGTATACTAAAACAAATATATGGGATTTGTTAACACAATGTACATATAGCATTTCTTTTTATTACCATATTTAATTGCGTCTAAAGTGCTGTTCTGTCTTAAATACGTAAACTATGTTTATACATAATTTATTCAGGATAAACCTGATATTCCGAACATTTCAACATGTAACAAGTTATAGGACATGCAGGTAAGTGATGAGAGAAGGTAAGTGAGAAAGTTGTAACCTGTGTGACTTCAAGAGGGGAGCCTGGAATCTGCTCCAGTTTCATTCTAACTATGGATTTTTGTCACAATTTCTAATTACTTGCTAGGCTCTTTTTTGTGCCCCATCAGGTTTGTCTATGAGCTCAGAGTGCCAAGAATCACCATCTTTTGGCCTCTTGCAAACATTAATTTCATGACTAGTTAAAACTTTCCTTGTCACCAGGTCCCCTTTGCTCATGGATTATTTTATTGATTGTTCTGTTGTTGTCATAAACATGAATATTTATTTTTACGTACATCCGTTATGGTGCCCAATGCCTCTTGCTTTTGTGATGTCATATCATCTTCCTTTTTAACATGTTCAGTTTGTATAACTCTGTCTTCATTGTGGCCAAAACAAATCACATCACAATCAAACACATTTCTTCTACCAATGTATCAAGCATCCGTCATTATGTTGATATCATTTGCATCAGGATATGTCACATTTTTTCATCCAAAGCAATTTTCCAAGATTCTTTCATAGCTTCACTGATATGAGAAGATGATTCATTTATGCAGGCCTTCTCTTTTCTCCAACCAAGATGCCCCATACTACCTGCTTCTATAACATTCTCATATTATGAGAAATGACAATAATTGAAATAATTACTTTTCAATTTTTTTTATTTCAAATTGATCGAGAAGACCAATTCAAACACATATTTTACCTAGTCTCTTAGCTATCATCCCCGTGTGTCATACTTCACCTGTTCCAAATGTGCTTTAATTTCAGATTACCCCAGAAGTAATGCTTACAGTTTTCTTGAACTGGAAGAAGAAGTGTGATGTTAAACACCAATATAAATTAGATGGGGCGTATAAAACGCCATCAAAACAGGCATTTTTATTAAATGAGTGAGTTAAGGATTGGAGCTATGTGTTAAATGCATTGGATGCTTATTCATTCAACTCGTTGTCAACACGGCGTCATTGCCTAAACTGAGCACTTGTGGCGATTGCAAAGTTTGCAAGAACACCTTCATGATCATGATTCAGTCTACCCTTGAACTGAGTCTATGACTTAAATTTTTTAAATCAGACATAACAAATTAAGCTTTACGACCCACTTCAGAAATTCTTGGAAAAACAAAATGCATATCAACCAAAAAGTAAAAACCATATTACAGGGTGTCCCGAAAGTATGGGGCCCCCCTGAGGCAGACATATTTCAGTGTCCTCATAGTATGTGTCATATATCATTTTAAAGCTTATCCAAAGTTACATTGATTTGCCAAGTATCATGGTTGAACTCCCAAATGGGAAAAAGTTACAGTCATTTTAAAAGTTAGTGTTTTGTCAAAATAATTTTACACCACATAACTAGTCAATGTGTCCCCCATTGGCCATGTTAACAGCAGCAATTATTTCCAGATATGACCTTAAAAGCCCTTCAAATAGGGGTGTGGAATTTTATAACCCTCTTAAAACCTGTTAAGGGACTTTAGAAGAGTTTCCTTAGAGTTTCTACCCTCACAGTTCTGTTTTTTTCAACTCAATATCCCTCCGACCCGAAAAGAATTGCTGCTGTTAAGTTGGCCTGGGAGGACACATTGACTAGTGATTTGGTGTAAAATTGAACTTAATTTTGACCAAACACTAAATTTTGAAATGCCAGTAATTTTTTCACATTTGAGAGTTGAAGCATGATACTTGGCGAATCGATGTAACTTTGGATAAGCTTTAAAATGATATAGGACACATACTATGACGACACTGGTATATGTCTGCCTAGGGGGGGCCTCATACTTTCAGGACACCCTGTATTTCCTATATTTATACCATTACTAGTAAAGAGGTTGTGTAAGCTTTTGTCATAATTATATTTATTTAGGTTTTGGAATATGAAATTTCATAAATTAATTGTTCAATTATTTTAGGAAATGCAATAGGACTTTGAGAGTCAGAAAAAGGAAATGACGCAAGTATGGTTTTTACTTTAACTGAAACTGATTTTGGTTGTGAACATCCTATAACCCATTTTGTTTTGTCAGTCATGGCTTTATCAGCCCATTCAAATGTTATTGTGTTTTTTCCTTTTTTGTAATCTTCCCTATCCAGGGGATCCTATTGCCCTCTCGTTTTACTGGTAACACCACCCAGTGTCCAACATATAAATCCTTTGGCGTGGGAGACATAATGAAATCTGGAATGAAACATGCAAATTCGGTCAATAATGTTTTCATAATGTCTCTATTCAGCCCATTCATATGTTATTGTTTTTTCCTTTTTTAAATTTTCCCTATCCAGGGGATCCTATTGCCCTCTCCTTTTACTGGTAACACCACCCAGTGTCCAACATATAAATCCTCTGGCGTGGGAGACATAATGAAATCTGGAATGAAACATGCAAATGTCTCTATTCAGCCCATTCAAATGTTATTGTGTTTTTTCCTTTTTTATAATCTTCCCTATCCAGGGGATCCTATTTCCCTCTCCTTTTACTGGTAACACCACCCAGTGTCCAACATATAAATCCTCTGGCGTGGAAGACATAATGAAACCTGGAATGAAACATGCAAATTCGGTCAATAATGTTATCATAATGTCTCTATTCAGCCCATTCAAATGTTATTGAGTTTTTTCCTTTTTTTAAAATTTTCCCTATCCAGGGGATCCTATTTTCCTCTCTTTTTACTGGTAGCACCACCCAGTGTCCAACATATAAATCCTCTGGCGTGGGAGACATAATGAAACATGCAAATTCCGTCAATTATGTTTTCATAATGTCTCTATTCAGCCCATTCAAATGTTATTGTGTTTTTTCCTTTCTTTAAATTTTCCCTATCCAGGGGATCCTATTTCCCTCTCCTTTTACTGGTAGCACCACCCAGTGTCCAACATATAAATCCTTTGTCGTGGGAGACAATGAAACCTGGAATGAAACATGCAAATTCGGTATAGATAAAATTATATATAGGGCAGTTTTTGTTTTTATATTTTAAGCTTAAATATTAGATCATAAAATTCAGAGCAAATTATTGTAAATTATTCCAGAGATTCATTGTGTTAAGATATCATGAATTATTTCCAAAGTCAGTAATGTTTGTATACTGATAGTCAATTATATACAACAAATCCTGGATAGTTCAATGACTTACTTATACTTTCGGGGGAGGATTTTTGCTCATCAGCTTTCAATTTTTTTTCTTCAGAATCTTCATCTGAAATATTCATAATTTACTCACAATTTATCTTTATTATTATTAAATAAAATACCTCTTGAGTGGAAAGTGACCTGATACTGATAAATTGTTCTTTGACTAAAAATTGCCTTGACTGTTTTGCACTTGCAACGAGAAAAGAAAAGAAAAAAGAATCTCAATATTAACATGTATGCACAAGTGCAAAAAAGGAAAATTTTTTGCAACATTTTCATTCAAATAGAGGATTGTCAAATTAGTTCGATGTTCATACTGGGTTTTCTTGAAGTAAATCCTTTTATCATGGAATACATTGAGGGTATTGTTTAAGCTTTCAACGTACGGTGTATTCAGTCCTTTATTATACTTAATTGCCATTCTGTACATGGTAGACTTTTTTATGGCATGGGCCAGCTTACCTATATCCCACTGGTTTGTCAACATTAAAGTGCTTGGCTCATAATTTGGATCTATCCGGCATCTGGCTTTAGCGTGGCAATTTTCATGATTATTACGGTATAGTGTTGAACCATATTGTCTAACATCTGTCGTAAAATGATGTGGTCTTCATTACAATTCAGCATCGCATAATATTAAAATTGACGGATAGATTCTGGTTTGTCTTCAAGCTGCCTATGCCAAGTTTGTCCATGTGATTTTTTAGATCCATGTGCTATGTTTGATATCTGTTTTTTCATGTTGTGAGATGCATGCCAGGTATCATTTTGGTTGATGGTTGGCGCTCTCTCATCACGTATGAACACATTTATGGCTGTGTTAGCATCATGTACGTGAGTCCCAATCCAAATAGAATTCTCATCAAATGTTTCGTAAATTTTCTTTGTCCCGAATGTCTCATGCCTTTGAGGGGATGGGTCATCATTTTTAGTAACGTGACAGGATTGGAGAACTTGGTGAGATTTGTACCCAAGCACAATGACATCACAGTCATTCGCATTTTTATGAGATCCATGACAACCATCACTCATTATAGTAATTCCATCTTCAATGTTCTCGTACATTCCAATTTCCAAATGGACAGCCTCCTCCATTGATTCCTCCTTGAGGTCATGGACTACAGGTGCATATACTCCAGTAAACCTGTCTAACTGAAGCTGCGACAGACTCCCCATTCCAGCACCCTCGGTTAATCTTTTATACTGAGAGGGAAGCATCCCCGATGTAATATATCCTTGAAAAAATCTAAAATTCACAAAGAATTCTTGATTTGGAAGATATTGAGAAGCCCACTTGAATGTATGTTCTCTTTCACATTTCAGTCCAATCTGCGCGGCATGACCATATAATGTGTGGTCAGTCCATTGAAGAGGTCTGTCACAGAACATGTTATGTTCAGTTACTTGGCATACAAGTTTTTCAATAGCTGACTTTGATGCCAAAAACATCAGTTGATCAGTTTCCTGCTGTGGAGTATTTACATAGGATTTTAGAGGAACATAGGTCTGATGACTAGTGACAGTACTATTTATATCTTCTTGTTTGACAGAACTTGGGTTGTTGTGCAACAACCAAAAATCTAGAGCTTCTTCAACAGCTTGAGTGTTATTAAAATAGTTCTTTGAAAGTTCTTTTTATTTACCTTCCCTTGTACTTCAATCTTTTTATCTTCATTACCAGTCAAATACAGCTGAAATTTAGCTGGTTTTGGTTTTTTTCTTTGATCCATTTTTACAAGTGACTTGATAGAGCTTTATAGCAAGACAGTTCTGAAACCAGAAGTGCAAATCAAAATGTGTTTCCCAAAAAGGGAAGGAACATTCTGTTGTAAAAGAGGTACAATTTTATTATTTTAAAGTAAATATTTCCAAATCAACTATGGATTTATTTGGGTCCTAAGAGTGTTATTAATCTTAAGAAGATTCCCCAAGATAATATTATAATATTATTTACTTGATATTTCAATATATACAATTTGAGATAACTATCTGACTATCCATCTATGGTGAGTTATGCCTCATGTGGTTCATCCCTAAATGTGTCTGGGGGGCTATACCATTCCCAGGATACTTCTCATGATCACTTGCTCTCATTATTTGGCAATCATATGGACCATTCCTACTAGAACCCATGTATGTATTTATATAGTTGGAACCAAAGGCATTTTTGTTTGTTTTCCATCAACTTGATGTCTTGTACAAATGAAATATTTGACAATGTAGGCAGTATATCTGTCCTCACTAAACCAGTCTGTAATTGAGGGAATCACATTTTGACAGGGCTATATTTCTGTCTGTTATATTAAACATTTTAGGGTCCCCCCTAGATCCCTCACTTCTTTGAACATATATAATTCTACAATAATCTTGTGTTGGATGCACTTATGGAGATCACACAGCACTTTCTCCAAACATAATCTGAGCAAGACTAAGAATTTTCAGTTTTCAGAACTCATTACTTTCTGCTCTTTATCTGATCTGACATAGGCATATTTTGAGTATTTGGGTAGATGAATCTGAAGAACTAGCAATAAGAGAATTATTTAATCATTTTGATTTGGACGTTCAAGAAGCAACCAGAGACGATATATGTAAACAGTATTCACCCACTGTTGCTAGCAATGAACCAGAACTTATTGAGGATGACCCTGAGGTGCCATTGATCCCCCCAATTGAAGCGGAGACTGAGTTCCCCCATTGTTTTTGTACTCCTTGCTGCACCTCAGAGAGATTAAACAATTGTGGTGGTATTAACAACAAGTACAACCCCACGAAAACAATTCAACGGAATGTAAAAAAAATATATAAGAAGTTTTGGGTAATGCTGCAACACAGACTAGCATGGAGAGATGAAAGGTATCAACTACAGAAGAAACTTGCATTTGAAGCAGATCCTAGACACAGGATTTGTTTAATTTACCATGGACATCAACGTGACATCATGCCAGATTGTGTGGTTCAATTAGTAAGATATTGGCTGCTTAATCCTTCTAAGATGTCTTACATGGGACACCATAAAATACCAGTACTTTCTGTGATCTTTATAACTCTCAAATATAATATTACTATCAAAATTTAATTGGATTAAAGATCAATTGATATTGGATTAATCATTTCATATGAAAACAAATCATGTAAGTACAACTAATTCCGCCAAATCAACATGTGCTTGTCTGTTTATGTTAACTGAGTGACTGTTTATTGGCTCATGATAATTACCCATATCACATGATCACTAGTTTATTTAATGGGAGTTGCTTGCAACTTTAAAACCGGCCTTTAATTGTTTCATGGGGAAATCTTAATGAAGCATGTACCATGTAATGGAATTGAGCACTATATGTTTGAGTGATCAATATTGACCATATGAAAACCTTTTCAGTGTTTTGACCTTTTCAGTGTTTTGCTTAACAGGAAAAATATATATATGGTTATAGCCATACTTAATTTAGGAGGGAGATGGTCTCAAATTTTCGTTGTCATCAAGGTTTCATATCACTTACTATTAATATTATTTATTAGTTTTACATAGAACCTAAATTCTGATAAACAGTTTGTGACCTAGTTTCATGACCTTGGGCTTTGCCCTTCACAATTTTTTATATTTTGATCTCAATAGATGCTTTGAAATTAACCTGCCTAAAGGACGATTCTCGGTTTGGAGAACAGTCTCCTGGGCTAATAATTTTTTTAATGAAAAATATAGAAATATTACCCAAATTAAACTATGAATATTCAAAAGAGGACATTTAAATCTACAAGATGTAAAAATAACAAATTGGTCTGAAGCAGGGGTAACGCTCAATTAGACCCATTCAATAAAATACAAGTCTCGATTTGGGGAAAGAAGTTCATCAGTGTACTGCGCTAATATTTTTTTTGCGAAAATTCTAGAAATATTACCCAAATTAAATTATGACTATTCAAAAGAAGACATTCAAATGAATCAGGGATAATGCTCATTTAGATTGATGAACTGCGTTCTCAAAACCGAGAATCGTCCCTCAGATCCAAATCTAATGTTAAAAAATCAACTTTTTTACCTTTCAATCTGGAGTGTAATGAAGTAAATTTTGTTCAGAGTGATTTGCTACTCCAGAGATTGCATTTTTTGGGTTGGTCAAAAAGTGTTACAGAATATAATACTTACTGGATGCTTGTCCACGCAAATACTTTTTGTGTCTCCAGTATGCAACCCTTACATAACTTATATCACTAAGTTTGTCTTTTACTTCTTTAAATGCTGTATCAATTTCTGGAATAGAGAACAAATGAAATATTCATGCTAACAAATGTTTTATAAATTCCAACTTTTTTCACAACAATGTTCACTGTACATATATCCATAATTCATTTTGTGAATTTTAATTGAAAATGAAAACTAATTTTAATAAATTATTCTTACTCTTTTCAAATTAAATGGCTCACCTTTTTTCTTTTCTTGTCTTAAGTTTGCCTCAGCGGATATAGTTGCACCATTTGGTACTGGTCTGTCATCTTTGGATCTTTGTTTATGTGTACTACCTACATTGAATTTAATATTCAATTATCAGATAGCTAGAGAGAATTATGATATTTTTATTGAAGTATATTTGAGGCTAATAATATGAGATTCATGATAGATGACTTACTTTGATCATTTTTGTCTGCCATTATACCAGTCTGAATGTCCCCATCATTATTACAATCTTTACCAGGCTTATAGGAAGCATAATCAAGTTGTCTTTTGAGCCCTAAAAGCATCAGAGATAAAATGTAAAACACTACTATGATATATTATCCATCGCCACAACATTTATTTCTCGTAATTTATTTAATTTTAAATTGATTCACAAATGACAATTATAAAAGTACGATATTTACATAACAAGTTAATTAACCCCTCTGTAACTAATATAGAATAAAGTACAAAACCAATCTTCTGTTTGGGTCAAGTAGAACTTTATTAAGATTACGTAACATTACGTAACTAATAGTTGTTTAAAATTTTTTCTACCCCTTTGACACTTGCAAACAACTTACTAATGTTCTACTTAGATAAGCAAAGCTATTTCCAGAGTTGAATGCGATGTTGAACTTTTAATCTCACTATTGACAGATTGTGCTATAGCTAATGGCTGCCATAATGAGTGCCATAATAATTAAGAGTCATAAGATTGCTAAAACCATGATAATTGTGTCATAAACAATAATGATCATTGCTGTGAAGAGTGGGTGGGTGGGTGGAAATTCAAGATTCAATTATCATGCTAAGGCTTTGCAACTAACTAAACTGGTCTCCTGGCCATATGGCTAGGAAGTCTGAAACAAGATATCCGCCCTTTCAGTAAATTGCAGGGAACTATTTAATCCAATAAATAGTACAATAATTAATGCTAAAACACTGACCAGCAGGTCAGTATAACCTAACATAATTTGCTCATAAATTAAGTTTAATTACTTAAACTTTTAACTCAACACATAATTGAATATGGTAAAATTACAATACTTTAAATAGAAATGACCATTTTAAAAAGAAAAGGAATGAACATAATGCACGCGTGTAGCAATGTCTTGTCATATTATATTGTTACATGTCATTTTGAAGTTTTATGTGTCTTAGCTCACTTCACTTTTGAGATCATGGAACACAAATGCCAAGAAAGCAAACTCATAATGTAAATCTGTCATTAGAAAAAGATATATCACATATCACATTCAAAGAACAAAACACCAAGGGACAATTCATTCATACTGAAATTATATTGTTTTTTTTTATTAGTATTGAAGGGAAAAGCAATTACCTTTTATTTTGAAGGTTGTAGTATAAAATACCATCCAATAACCCGGAAGTGAATTATAGAAATATAGGTATCGTGAGCCAGAACAAAGGGAAATTGGACTAGTACTTCATAAGAAATTACTAATGAGGTAAGTGATGAATCGGTGTCGGGAATATGATAGAATGATAGGTCTAGTGTAAAAAGGGTGAAGTTACAAGGTGAAATATAAACCTACACAAATACAACACAGCAAGCTAAAAAGAATAAGGGATTAGGTACTTTAAATATCACCACACCAACTACCAACTAATAGTAAATCACACAAGAAATATATTCATTCAATAAAGTCTATTCTATTATACTTGCGTTTTATGTCACAACTGAAATATATATGTACAATGCGAATAAATAGTATTTAAATTATATAGATTATAATTTACATAAATGCTAATGTCTTTAAATCTATTAGAATGAAATTAAACTCAATAACGCTGAAATCTGCAGTCTGATAAAATGTCTTCAAAATTATGACCGGGATACTACTTCAAATCAGAACAGAATTGCCAACAACGATCTTGTAATAAAGTTGAATTTTATGCCCTCTATAAATTCAGTCGGGAACTAATAGCATGAAAAGTGACGTCAGCTATGCGTTAAAAGCCCGAAGGAGATTTTGATAAATGGGAAAGAGCTGTGAACTTTCAACCGTCAGAGACTAAGGATGTTATTTTAAACACCAGAGGTGCAAACTCAATGGAATGTGCCCGTAAGGACTTCTTTCAATTACAATCAAATTCAAGTTCAAGTTAAAAGCTGTCAAGGATACAATAATCCACAAAGATGCTCAAGTTTTAATTAATGAATCTAGACTTCAAAAGTGACGTATGTGATCACGTGACTAAGTCGTCTGCTTTCCCCAAAGTTATGATTTAATTTGACCAATAATTCCCTTAATCTCTATTCTGTACTATCTTGAACCTTGTGTTCGGGAAAAATGAAAGTTTTTGAAATGTTTTCTCAAAGTTCAATTATCGATCAATATTACTGTCTTAAATCTCTTCACTCCCTAATGGAATGCTACAGTACTGAAAATTAACTTACCCAAACGTCAACACCCCATTTTTCGTCGAAGATTACGTTCATAGCCCAACTGGAATCTTGAGACCGTGTTCACTGAGGGTACTGTGCTGTAGCGAGTATTTTCCGAATCTTAGGTTCAGCGGTGCAGGAATTGTTACATTGTATCCGCGAAAGACACTTGTTTATATAGCAACAGATGGACATACGCAATCTTGGAGAAGATGTAGGGAAAAATATATGTAATGTTGCTAAAAATGGGATATTACCAAGGTTTTTAGAGCTACATAGGGTAGTAAAAAGGCAGAAAGAGCAGCTTATTGGACAGGAATTATGAGGTAGGGACTGAGAAAATGATGTCACTTTGAAAAGTGACGCAAAGTTGAGACTGCAAATTCAGCGCTTTACAATGATAAATAGGTTTTCTCTATAAATATACTAGCTCTGATACGATGATTCTGGCATACGTATTGCAATAATGTGATCATGTTAAAGGGACATGATATGGTTAAATACTGATTATATATATTAAAGGGACACACACTGGATAAATACGATATAATAAATAGCTATATACAGGGTGGGTCTCTACAACTACCCCCTTCTTAAAAAATTCAGTTTTGTCCTCAAACATAAAAATCAAGCTAATTAAGCTAACCGCCTCACTGTATTCAGGAGAATTTACATTAACAAGTCACAACAAATCACCCAAAAAGTCTATGCACTGTTCAAAAAGTCTAAGTCCAGCCCCTCCAAGTCTACATCCGGCCCTTCAAGGTATTCTCCAACCGCTCTGCTGTTCATCCCCAGCAGAGGATCCCCGCTCTCCGCCAGCAATCCTTGGACCAGAGGGGAATCTGCTAGTTCCGGCCCGTCCTCTAAATCCCGCAGGGGATGCACAGCGGCTTGGAGCTGAGGCGCCGAGATCAGTGCGGGATCGACCCCCAGCTCCTGGCCCGTGCCATCCCCCTCGACCTCTGTCCTCTCCTTCTCCACCCGGGGACGCACGGCGGCTTGGAGCCGGGGCGCCGAGATCGACGCGGGATCGACCCCCAGCTCCTGGCCCGTGCCATCCCCCTCGTCCTCTGTCCTCTCCTTCTCCACCTGGGGACGCACGGCGGCTTGGAGCCGGGGCGCCGAGATCGACGCGGGATCGACCCCCAGCTCCTGGCCCGTGCCATCCCCCTCGTCCTCTGCCCTCTTCCTCTTCCGTGAGGGCTCTTCCGTCCCCAGGTTGAGGTGCCTCCGCCGGTGGAAGGCGAGCCCCTCAACCTGGGCAGGGGTAAACATCCGTGGGCAGTCGCCCACCCCACAGGCTATAGTGGAATCATGGGCGTTCACCCGGTGGAGCTGCCAGTTCCCCTGGCTCACGAACTGAGCAAGGCAGCGATAAGGCCGCCTTGGCACCCATCCTCTGGGTGGGTCAGCCGACATCTGGCAGACCTAAAAGAAAATAAAACTCTTACCTTCTCACCCTACTAGAAAGGTTTTTAGTATTTTTATACAAACCTCCCCTAGGATCTCAAGGTACTAGTTTTCTTTGATATTCAATTAATACATAAGTACTCGACAATATGGAACTAGAATGAACATCCTCTCATTCTCTTTCAATCTATTCAAGTCTCTTTAGTAAAAGGTTACAGTTCTTTATTTGGAAGTTTAAAAAAGAAAGTTATAAAAATGGGTATAAGCTACAAGCACAAGCTAAGACACATTGAATTACTTTGAAAGTAATATAGAAAAATGCACACAATAGGGATATTAAGACACTTGACTCGACTTATGAAATCTGAAGTGAGACTACTCTATAACATAATCAGTTAACCACTCAGGTTTCTTTCGGGTCCTTTGCCTTCCAGAATTTTCAGTCTCATTTTCTTTAATTTCAGAAGCATTCTCAAAATCTGAGGGTTGGGAATCCTCAACAGGGGTTTCAGTTTCTTGATCTAGACTCTCATTAGTATTTTGTGAAATGAATGTTTTGAGGCGATCGTGGTGAATGACTCTTGTATCTCTCTCATTAATTTTAATTAGATACCTTAAATCATCTATTCTCTCCGCCACCTCATAGGGTCCATGCCACTTTAAAGCAAACTTAGGAGTTTGGCCAACCTTCACAGCTGGTACATGGACCCAAACACGTGATCCCTTTTCGAATGACTTTAAATTTGCTTTGACATCATACCCTCTCTTCTGTCGGTCACTAGATAATTTGATATTGCCGCGAGCCGCCTCGTGAATATTGAGTAGAACTTCTTGTAATTTCTCACAGTATTTTGTATGACATGTACTATCAAGTTCTCCCCTCTCAATTTCAGGAGGAGGCCCGAGCAACAGATCGGTGGAGGTCCGAACCTCCCTTCCGAACATCAGAAAATTCGGGCTGTAGCCAGTAGTAGCATGAACAGCACTGTTGTAAGCAGAAACAACAAAGGGAAGACATCGGTCCCAGTCCCTCTGATCGGATGCAACAATTTTAGACAACATAGCCTCCACAGTCCTGTTTGATCTTTCTACCATACCATCAGACTGTGGATGATATGGAGTCGTTGTTGTCTTACTCAAGCGGAACATTTCACATAATTCTTTGAATAGTTTTGATTCAAACTGGGCACCTTGGTCAGAATGAATTTGTAGAGGTGACCCATAAATACAAATGAAATGATGCAGCAAAGCTTCTGCCACGGTGGCAGCTTCTTGATTAGGGACAGGAACCAATGCCAGGACCTTTCTGAAATAATCTTCAATTGATACTACATACTTGTTACCCAATAGACTTTCGGGTAAAACTCCCAAAATATCAATGGCTATTCTCTCAAGAGGGGCACCCACATTGTATTGTTTCATTGGTGTTCGATGTTTCTTATTGGGTGGATTTCTCCTCTGACACAAAAGGCAACCCGA